GTGTGTGTGTGTGTGAACAAGGCATGGTGAGAAGTTTCCTCTCTCTCTCAGTGGATAGGATACTGACTGATAAAAGGTGATGCCTTCAGCCACTGATGCTAGTAGACCAGCACCCACATTATCGGATTCTAAGTTAAGCGTGATTCCTACCGTGTTATCTTATAACCAGGTTGCAGTCTACCTGCAATGGGAGGTCCTACAATAGCAGCAACAGGTGAGTCTATTTCCACTGCACATCACCAACTCCGTACACCCTGGTGCTCAGTGTACCTCCTACAACTATCTCCTCTACAGACGGGTGCAATCCGGCAGTCTGTTAACCTCCAACTCTGAAAGTGAATGGCAATGCCCTGTGCGTGTCACCCAGCGTCAGTATATTTTCACATATGCGAGGCCCTGAGCTGTCAGCAGCCCTTTTCCAGGTCGAAGAAACATCCAGGCGAGCCCTAAGTGAAGGCCCCAGCCAGGTAACTACAGGCCCTAAAGTTGGACCCCGCCGAGGCAGCTTAGCCAAGGTCAGGCAGGATACAGACCGGTAGGGATTGCAGACCAGAGGGCCCAGGCCCCGGCCAGGAAACGAACAAAAGAGGTGAGGCTGCAGCATATTACACATTAGGCAGCAGAGCAATAACTTGCGGCAGCCCCAAAGCATCACTAGCAGCAGCCAAGCGCCCAGGAGAAAGAAGCAGCCTCGCTCTCGCAGCAGCCAAGCGCCAGAAGTGAGGTAGGTGCCTCGGCATAGCCAAGCGGGGCGGGCCAGGGTAGTGCAGGTAGGTGGGGAGTAGAAGGGGAGGTTTTGGGGACAGGAAGAGGCTGGGGGGACAGGCCCATGCTTACCTGGCGTACGGCAGGAGAGCACCCGTGTGATCAGACTCTTCAGCAAAGGTCCTAGCATGAGTAGGCCCTCATTCATATAAGGAAGGCAACCGACATATGAGAAAATCACTGGCACAAACATAACAATATTAATGCACTGTGCGAACTGCCCTTGGGTCGAAGTGACAGCCACCGGCCAAAGGGCGCCCTTGGTCGCCCAACAAAGGCGTTTGGGCCAAGGATCCCACATGCCACATCTCTCCCTCCTTAAGAAGTCGATCCCTTGTGAGGACCCAGTTGTCGATCACAAGGGGGAACCCCCAGATCAGCGCAGATGGGTGAACGTGTGAAACTTCTTAGCACGAAATTGACACTAATCATAACCCGAAATGGCGGGTTCCAAAGCCTCAACTCTACACGAAAAGAATTCAGAGTCTCAGAGAAGAATTATCCAAAGATCATCTTTGAATTTTCCACATCTCCACACCCCTTTCATCCCCCTCAAATCTCCTCCTCCACGTCTGATTGCGAAAGAACAAAGAACCTGAAAGAACCAATTTAACACTGTTTCTACTCACGATTGAGATTACACTCAACCAGAGCTCTCCTCTCCGATGCATACTCAAGGTGATGGATCAATCCTGTTAGGGACGAGTGCAGAAAGGATGAATTATGTCAGGAAAGAGAGTGGAAAGTAGCGCCATCAGAAGGATGAAACCTGCGAGGGAAGAGATGTAGAGTACCCAGCAGAAGACAAACATGTACCCCAACTGGAGGGGTGTGAGCACAACTCTCTCAAGAGCAATGTGGGCAAAGAGCACTGACACACACAGGAGGAGAGGCAACGTGCAGGGTCTGCATAAACCACCAGTCCCTCCACTGCTTGGAAATTCAGAGGACCGGTAGCGCCGTTTCATGAAAACATACTGGCCTTACTAGTAGCAGAGCGGATCAAGGCATGAAAACAATCGTGGAAAAGATTCCAAAAAATGCAACCGTTTGCCCCAAGATTATTTCTGCTATCTTGAAAGTTTTAATATTACTCCTGGAAAGATCAGCACTGGATCTACCCGAACATTTTTTGTCAGTTTTTGCCCTAATATTCCTGGGTGTGAAAATCACCAAAGTGGGCGGTCTAATTTTCTTGCGAACTGCTGCTGATGCGCGGGGACATTCGTTCTGTTCTTCTCATTACTCGATCATTATCTTGTTCATTGCAATGTGCTTCATGTCCATGCTTCAGATTGGCATTTTTTTCCCAAAGATGAAATACAATCATAGCATTGCCAACAGTTCATCCACTCGTAGAACACTGAAAAGCCCTACATTCACAAATAGCTTGTCCCCACCTCAATCCTTCCGCCGCAGAATAAGGAATTTCAACACTGAGCTTGCACGTTACATCATATCAGAGTGTAGCAAGGTACCATATCTGCTTCTCTCTCTCTCTCTCTCTCTCTCTCTCTCTCTCTCTCTCTCTCTCTCTCTC